GGTGGTCGTTGATGGAGTGTAGGATAGATGTACCAAAGGGTTTTTGGAAACTCGAACTATAACTATCCGAAAAGTACGAAAATGTACTACTAAATGAGAACGGATAGCGTTAAAAAATTGAAATTTGGAGTGTGAATTAAGGTTGAGAAGTAGGGTCCATTTAAGGAAAAGGTTTTGAATGCGGCACTCATGTGTACGAAAAGTCCTATATGGTACTATATTTGGTACAAATTTAATTTGGAAGAGTTGGAATCCTGAAACTTTGATTTCTAAACATTGTGGAGATGTAAGATTGGGGTATGTAGGAAGATTTGGAAATTGGTACTACGATGTACTAAATTTGGTACAATTTGAATTGTGAGTGAACTGATAGAGTTGGAATCCTGAAACTTTGATTTAGGATTAGTGTGGGGGGTAGGATTGGGATATTTAGAATATTTTTGGAAATTGGTACTACTGTGTACTAAATTATGTACAATTTGAATTGTGGGTGAACCGATAGAGTTGGAATCCTGAAAATTGGATTTTGTATCAGTGTGGGGTGTAGGATTGGGTTATGGAGGAAGTTTTGAAACCAATGAGTTCAAATCGTGAAATTTGAATTTGGAATCATTGTGTACGATCGGGGTATGCAGGGAGTTTTGTTGTATGGTTGATGAGGGTACTTATGGAAATAATGTATGCTAAATTGAACTAAATTTGGTAATATTTGGATTTGGGTGAACCTTTAGAGCTCGAATCATGAAATAAATGGTACTCAAATTCAATTTATGGTCGATATTAATGTGTGGATTGTTTAGTTTTTCTGATATAAGCAGTTTTCAGTGAAAATAAAATAATATTTTAATACATGTTTAAATATTACCCACATTCGCTAAGGAAGTTGCGGGCATATGCTAGTTTGAAATAAAAAGATGGGAATTAACCTAAAGAAGCGATGCGATTTCGAAGGTCTTTATTGAAGAAGGCTGGAATATTTTTACAGTATGTGTGGAAATATTGGTTAATATTGGCATTTATTATATCAAATCGATTGTTCAAGTGGTATAAAATATATTTGGTCAAAAATATATGAGTCGCAGCAAAATAAACAGAGATTGGTTTCAGCTAACATAATCTCCTCGATTTGATGAGTAGCTGGGATTTCTGGACAGATTTCCACACATAACATAAAATATATGGACCAATCGGCGAACGGGGTTATAACTGAGCCCAGGTTTCCTTTCTGTCCCCCTCTTTGGATGTAGTTTTCTTGAATTTTTTTTGTGTAAAAAGCCTAAACTTAAACGCCATTTTTGAAATCTAAATATAGTATTGAATATGTTCTTGACAATTTAGTTTACAAACTATAAAGAAAAAAGTTTGAAACCATATGATTGTCACTTACACCTTATTAAATACACCATGAAAACAAGTTTATTTTGAACAAAATCAAACAAAAGTTATTTGGATTAAAAAAAAAACAAAACAAGAACATTGAAGTGAGTAGTGTGCATTTTAATTATAAATCGTTTTATCATCTGGAAAAATTCTGAGACTGGGATAAAATAAATTCAGATAAACCACTTTTTTTTAAATTAACACCATTACAGAAAACAGCGAATTACTTAATAACTACTATACAACTACTACAACAGGGACATTTCACACTCTTTTGTAGTGTTAATGCGATCATATAAAAATACTAGTTTATACCTAATTTCAAAATTAAATTTAGTATATATTGCAGCAGTATATAGGATGCTTACTGATTGATGATTTCTAAATTTTAATTTGATAACTTCAGCAGGGGCAGCGAAGCGCCAGGGGTCCCGCTAGTATTATATACATAAAAATGTTTTTTCCTCGAAATTCCTGTTTCAGAAAATTTTAAATAAAATATTTTCTAAAAGTATTTTCTAATTCATGTCTCCTAATTATAATGTTACCTATAAGTAAATATTTTAAATATTATTTCTTACAGTCTTATTTTTATTGCAATACAGTCTTATTTTTATTGCCCGGCAAACGTTGTCTTGGATAACATAATTGCCCAATATTAAGCTACACTCCACGATTTAAGATAGTGCTCTGAAATTTGCACATACATTGCTACTACTCCTACGATATTTGGTATTGAAAATGTTCAATATTAGTTCACTATTTAGGGTATCCCCATATATCGGAACTTCGAAATATGAGAAATTGTAACGAATTGGTTGTAATTGAGCAGAAAGTGTCCGTACCAAATATTATCAATATTGGCACATGTTTCACGGTATAATGGTTGCCCTAAAAATTCGGTATTTTGAAGATCTTGGGCACGGTTTTCAACAGCATTGCTTTTAATTTAATGTAAGGGATAGTTCTTGAGCAGAAAATCTCTCTACTTAAAATTATCAATATTGGCCCAAATATATTTGTTATTTGGCTGTAATTTTATATTTTGGATGATCATTGAGTAGAAAATTTTCCTAACAAAATTTGGCCAAGCTTCCGAAAAGCCTCCATATAATGGCACTCCACATTATACGACCCTTTGAGGATTTGGACACGTTTTTCAACCTAATCAGCTGTAATTGGTTGTTTTATTTGGTATCCTACTAAAATGGTCAATATCAGTTTACTCTTCTGTATTTTGAGGGGTTTGTCACGTGTTAGAACAAATTTGGCTGTAATTTTATATTTTAGATGATCAGTGAGTACAAAATCTACTTAAACAAATTGTCAATATTGATCCAAGTTTCCGGGTAAAACCTTCAAATTAGATATATATGTCTTGTATTTTTTTCTAATATTGCAGATTTTTTGTTAGCTGTCCTATTTCCAGCTGAGCTCAATGATAGATTTTTGCAAATTTTTGGTATCGGATATATGCGAGGGGTTCTGTTTATAAGTTCAAAGATATTGGAAAACGATTAGGCTTATAACCACTTGATTTAATATTTCACGTGGCATATCAACATTTCAGGTACTTTAAGGAATAGCATGTTCCTATTAGCATGGATCTTAGAATCCTTCATATCCTGAATGGACACGAACTCAATTCAGAATGTCTTCTGATTTTCCATCCTTGCATTAGTCCTAAAATGTACGTGCATTCTATGGAAAACTTGTACATACAATGATCGCGTGTACTTGTCAATTATTTGTTGTATTCTCCCAAAAAATGTTTCAATACAATGTCAATCCAATTGAAAAAAAAAATATTTTGAAAATTTTCAATAAGTGGCAAATTGTAGGCTTAACGAATGATACGCTACCGATTTTCGCCAAAAAATATCTCAAAATAACAGCTACAACTTGGTGCAATCCAAATAGCTCGATACTAATTTCACGAAAATGTAAATATGTTGCAAAATAATTTTTGCAAAATTTTCGTGGTTTTTGACTTTTCACTTCAAGACTAAGATAAGAGAAATCCGTTCAGCCGTTCTTGAGTTTTAGCGAGACTAACGAACAGCAATTTATTTATATATATAGATAGATATAGATATCTTATACTTCACTAATACAAAAATATTGTGGAATAAAATTACAAACAGAAACCCTATCGAAGCAGAGACGAAAAAAGCTTAGCTTAAAGCATGTGCAACGTTTATCTAGCCTAAAGCATTGGTTGTATCTGATTCAGTCACGGCAAAGCACACAATTCATTTTTTTTCTCCTTTTGCTTTTGTATAGTGTAACGAAATTACGTTTTGATTATATGATAATGGGGGAAAATTTATGATAATCGTTTATTAAAAAAACAGTACACGAGGGTATTTAAAATTTTTAAATACAATAGTCTTGATTTAGATTAGGCGAGTTTACTTGCGGCAAGTCTTTGTTTGTAGGAGAGAGGGGCAAAGGGTATAGAAATGAAAAAAATTGCTCGTACCGACAATTTGCTGGCAATTCGTTTTGTGTATTTCGTATTTGTTGACATTTTATATATATTTAAATGTGAAAAAACAACAAATAAAAAAATATTTTGGAAACCAAATTGCCTTGTATAGACGCATGGAGCAAGTTCAAAAGAGAACGATAAAAATTGCCGCAAGTAAACTCGCCTAATATAAATCAGGACATACAATTGTAAGCTATTTCAGTTGTTATTTGAAAACATAAAAGTTTTAATTTTAGTATTCAGGGAGCTAGGTGTATTTAGTAACAGTTCTTAGTTACCTTGTGCACCACTTACTATAATGTTGTAATTTGAAATTTTAATTGTAGAATATTTTTATGAAAATCTTTCATATTAAAAATAACAAAATGGTCTATTTCATTACGAAGAAAAATTACACAACTATTCCTTCAATAAAGCACAATCGAGAAAAAGATATAACAAGAGCGAAAGTTGCAGGTAGAATATCAAACCACAGAAGAATAATGAATTACAACGAAGTAGAATAATTTATCAATGAAATTTATAAGCAGACTAGAAGGTACCTAAAAAAACTGGACAGCATAGTCATAACAACAGCGGATAAGGGTAATAAGACGACAGTAATGAACAAAGGTGAATATTCGACAAATATGATCCTACTATTACAAGATAAAATGAAATAAAAACCAACAAGAGTAGATCCACCAATGCAACTGCAAAGAACCAATAATAATATAATCTCGGAATTAATTAAAAAAATCATAACGAAAACAGAAAAATTTAGAATGATATGCCAAATCGCGGAAGTCCCTGAACTTTACGGACTAGCCATAATGCCCCAGTCTGGACTTCTTTCCTTAACGACACACAATGGAGATCATTGCAAACATCCCAAAATAATGCACTCCGAATTGCAACCGGGTGTGTCCAGATGACGAGCGTCGATCACCTCCATGAGGAGACCAGGATGCTGTCAGTCAAGCAACATAATGTGTTGTTGACTAGACAGTTCCTGCTGGCATGCTATCTGCCGTGTCATCCTAACCATCACACTGTGATGGCAGATCCACCTCCGTGACACATCCGCCGGGACTTCAGGCGCTATCGTGATGGCATCCAAGACGTCAACAGATTGTCGATAGCGAACGCGATGAAATCCGTGCATCAACTGGCGTTCTCCGATGCCATAAATGGCAACAGATGCAATAAAGTCCTACAACAACATCCTCCTGCAATTTCGGAGAGTGAGAGGCTTCTTCCTAGGCAAACCCGTTCAATTCTGTCACAACTAAGGTCCGGATACAGCAATGTACTCAATTCGTATCGAGAGCGCATTGTCCCCGGAATCCTAAACAGGCGTCCTTCTTGCCAGCAAAGCCCTCACGACACACACCATTTATTCAATTGTCCGTCCGAGCCTACGAGTCTATTGCCCATAGACTTATGGCTAAAGCCAATAGAGGTGGCACAATTTCTCCGGCTACACTCTTCAAATCCGAATTCCTAATTAATTAATTAATATATTTTCCTTCTTCCGTTTTCTTCTATCAACATTTTTTAGGAAAGAACTTTCGTCAACAGCCAACCTGTTACAACAACTATTCCGGTTGTAAAAAAGAAGCTCGCAAATTAATTACAGGCATTGTTGTTGAGGTGAGTATTGTATTTGATATTCCAATTCATGATCGTCAAATTAATAAATTTGTGATTCATATGTCTTATTTCGATTTAATTGTATATGTTTACACAAATGCGTGGATTTATTACTGAATTATTGAACGCATCGAGTTGCAATGGTTATGTTTATAGATTATAGGCGAGAAAGCAGAAACGTCAAGACATCACAAGCCAAAGCAAATTTGGTATTATTTGAACATTAAAACAGAGAATGACCGTATTGTAACTTTTGCTAGGAAAATTAAATTAAAATATCATTCGTGACACTGTCGTAATTATATATTTGAGCTATAGGTCGGTCTTATCACCCAATTCAATAATAATTGCGAGCAGTCCAACAGATGAAGGAATATGCATAATTACTGACAAAGCTTTGAAAACACATTAATATCTGTAAAGATATTATCATAAATCTCATTGTAGTTAATCTTGAATTCCTATGACCAAGTGCTTAGGCCGCGTCGAAAACAATCTTTTCTAACTGCCCCCTTTAGTCCTTAATTCAGGAGCAATGTATCTGCTATTAAATATTTAATTTTATTGGCTTAACAACCTACACGTTCAAGGCAACATAACAAATTTAAGGAGACATCGGATATAACAATATTTTCGATTATTTCTAGGTGTTAAGTTTAGTTATAAAGATTACTAGACATTCCGTCCATAGTTTATATATTCAATTTACACAAACAAGTTCATAGAGTAACTTCGGGTAATGTGGACCACCATTTTCTGTTTTTGATATTGTGGGCGTAACAACGGTAAAAAAATAAAAACAAATTGTTTTCACAACATAGTACATTTGTTGTTTCAATATATTGCAGGTAAAACATTATATATATTTGTCTATAAAAATGTTATTGCATTATATTTCAAAAAACTCTAAACTGCAAATAAAAATAACTTGGCGGGTAATGTGGTCCAGTATGTGTGGGTAATGAGGATCAGTAAGTTAATGGTAGGTTGTGGATTGGTTGTGATAAATTTCAATTTATTGCACTCTTGGGTAACAATGAATGCAAAAATATATGGGTTCATGTTTTGGAATAGCCCCCATTTAAGGGTACCGCCCATTTGCGGTCCCTGCTTCATTATCCAATCGAAGCACCTGTAATTTCGCATATCGAGTTTTCAGAGGATAGAATACCTCCTCGCATATTAAATGCGCCCATGTTTCGAACACGTCCACATAAAAAGGTCCCACTTTTTATAGTGGTCCACATTACCCGACATTGAATATTTTTATTTAAAAAATAATTATTGGCTTCAAAAATGAATAAAAATTAAAAATCACCGATTGTAATTACACATAAACGTATATTTTTGTTAAAGAAAACAATAAAACCACATAACTTCTTTATATTCAAGAAAAAACAAAGTATTCGACTATTTTGCAAAAACGTTCAACTATTGTGCTAAAAAATGTTCAAATCACACTGTTATAATCAGAGCTACATTTTCTACTACTACATTTTCAACATTGCAATTATTTATTAAAAACCAAGTTTGACGTTTGTTTTCACTAATTAGGAAAACATTTATCAAGGCGGCATTGACATATTTTAAGCGTTTTCTTAGATATGGGGGTGGTCCACATTAGACGCATAGTCCACATTACCCGAAGTTACTCTACATTTACTACAATTTAAATATATTTTTCAATTTTTTCTTCGCAGCTTGTCGGTTTCATTTTTGCTTGCTGTCTGGCTAAAAATGTACGCAACAATAAGCGACGAAACGCTTACTAAATTTGGAAAGCAATGAAGGACGACGAATTCCAATACCAACATTGCCACCAAAAACAATATACAAAAAATATAGTTTTTCCTCAAGTAATTTTTTCATGCACACAAATGATTTTCCGACGCAGAAATACACAAAAAATTGATGTAGATTGTTATATGTCAAGAAAACAACAAGTATACCTACTAAATCAAACCAATAGAATAAGTAATGCCAAATTACCAAATATCATATATACTAAAAACGCATACATATATACCACATAAATTTATATTCTATATACAAATGTATACCAGTTAATCGTTATATTGTTTTCGTTCTGTAATAGATTTACAGAGAACACAAGAACAAATTACTGCATATTTAAACGTTGAATATACAATGCAAAGAAATGCGTAAATTAATTATTCTCATTATCTGCTGTATATTAAATATTTTTTTATTATTAGCGGTAATTATGTAAAAAGGGGAAAAACAAAAACAAAAAAAAAACAAAATTTGCACATTGAATATGTACATATTTACATGTATTGGTAATAAATAATTTTTGTATGTTTATATTCCATTTTGTACGTTGTTCTTGATTAAGTGCGCCAAAATGTCCCTCCAATTCCAAAAAACGCTTAAATTTAAATGCACAAAGAATTTGTATGTTATTTTCTATGTTAAACCATATTTATATTTCGATCCCTTTATTGTCATTGTATTTTTTTTAAAGAAATCTCAATATTTTTATACTAGCTGTGTTCCCAAACCTGCAATATAGTACTATATTGTACTAGTTTTACAATTTTTGCTAGAAAAGCGTTTCCTTACGTCGAAAAGTAGGAAAAATTGAAGTTAAATTTAAGAGAGTTAAAACCAAAAATGGCGTTCTCTTCTCCTATTTTCTGCAAGACCAATTTGGCCTAGCACGAAATAGTAAATGTAGTAAATTATGAATTTGACATTTGATTGTCAGAGATATACAGTCCGAAATATAGCATATGAAAGTTAGCGCTTCAACAAAAGGGACACACGCACAGACGCACACACATTTGCTTAAAAAAAATAAAACAAATAAGAAATTTAAAAAAGGACAAACAGATTTTTTATTCTCTTTTGAAGGATAGCGAAGATGAATGGCTGGCAGAAGATTCAGATGAATATACTATAGAATGAAGACTTGGGTTGGATTGGTTAATCGTACTAACCAATGTGTGTACATTAGTCCAAAATATCTTGGGCTTAAGTCAAGTTTAGGGGCTCCACTTGGATCGCTTTGACATTTTTACAGTAAGTAGTCCTCGTGAACTGATTACAGTGATATATATTTTATAGGGAGAAATGCATACTTCTCGCGATATTGGCCTTGAAAGTTCGGAGAGTATGTTGTTTTAATCAGCCGTATCATTTTAAAGGTTATGGTTTGTGCTATATAACTAGATGAAGAATATATTGCATAACCAGGTATGCGCCTGTCCATATGTGAAAGTCTTATTCTTAAGTTCTCTTAAAAAGTACCCGATATAACCTTTTAATGATACCCATATTGCCTTGGTGGCAATAGAAAAAGGGTTGTTTTAAAGAAAATATGTTCCGAAATTACAAGGCCAATATCTCGGGAAGTATGCATTTCCTCACATGAAATGTATATCACTGTAATCCGCACAAGGAGGGCTACTTACGGTAATCATTTCAAAATGATCCGAGTGGAGCCCCTAAACTTGACTTGTTCCATATCTTGTTGTTCAATTTTGCTAAAACATTCCAATCAAAATATCTATCAATTTAAATAGCATTAACATTATGGGAGCGTACAGCCATGTAAGCCTTTCCGAACTCGGAGTCGTCGGAAACTCCACATCCAAATATTCGATAATGTTTCCTCTAAATTATACAAATAAAAAATAAACAATAAATATTAATATTATCAAAATCACGCAATGGGCGGCGTTTAATTTTTTGTTTTTTTTTATCTCTAAACAAGTTAAGGAATGAAATAAATATAAAGGGAAATAAAATTTATAAGAAAATACAAATTTGTTGTTAACTATATTACGAAAAATATATATTTTTATGATGAAGTTTGTGAAAACTGAAATAAAACTTCAGGAATCGCTTTAGGTGCAATTAATTTTTCTGTATTCCAAGATGTTGTCGATGCAATATCGGATGGAATATCTGCAAGAAAAGCCATCCAAATGGATATGATAGACAGGAACGGATGAATTTTCACGATCTTGAGAGGGATCCAAAGAAACAAAAGAGAGTCTCTTGATCCACGAGTATATCAAGCTGGGATGAATTGTATTCACACTGAAAATAAAGAATTATGAAACAATAGCGGTTTTCACGAATGGTTGTAAATACAGTTACTCTCAAAAATAATGCTAATTGTATGTTGTTCAGATGTTCTTTAAAAAAGTTCAAAATTTTTGTTACAAAGGTAAGTAGTGGAGGAGTATCGACGTTTTTGTTAAGCATTCAGCAAAAGTGCGTACATTTTCTACTAAACGTCAATAAAAAGCGAAAATTGGAATATATAAAGTTGTGTGTACAAATAATAAAATATAATTTACCATTATTTTTGAATCTGTTTAGGTTTGATATTGACTTTGTGTGTACTTTAAAATGTTTTATACGGCATTTACATTAGAACTTTTTACTGGGTTAACCCACTTTATGAGGATTTATTTGGCATATATTCAAAGGAATTGAAAATTTAAACCCACTCGGTTAACCAAATCCGGTTCAATGTAAACGACTTTTTAGGGGTATATCAAAATACTATTGGCAATTTGAAATTGAGCATCGAATAGTAGTTCTGACTGATATGCAGCCAAATAGATAAATACTTAAAAAATATTCCATAATATTGTGCAAATTGTTCGTAATAGACGAAATATATTACCGAAATGTATCACATCTGGTCGCTCACGATTGTTAACTGACGCAGATGTTCGACATATTTAAAGTTTAAAGAGGAATTGAGATACTAGCACTTAAAAATTAGCAGACAAGCCTATTAATGAGCACTTTAGTGATTGAACTCTTCATAGATTCCTAGGTAGAATAGGTCTAGTTGCAGCAGTAAAGAAAAAAATAAACCAGCCATATAAAACAAAAACCATGGCATAATTACACAAGGTTAGTTTCATGCAGACATATGATTCCATTTTTTTTCATAATTTTATTTTTGTCAACATTCAGATTTCAAAATTTACATGAAAATATCCTCCTTCGAAATGTAC